AAAATACCAACATCACTTTTTGAACCATTAACTCTGATGTCTATAGCTGAAAAAGCATAACTTGCGTCACAAGTAAAAAGTGGCTAGTGTATGTTTACATAAGCGCTTACTGACTATAAAAAAAAGATCCACATTTACGGAGAAGCTTCTCATGTTATCAAATACCTCAATTATTTTCTTCCATTCACATTGGTTGCTCAACTTTTCCCTAGTATTTAACATGTTGCCTAAATAATCTTGTTAGCCGTTGGGAAGCTAATTTTTTATTTTTGGCTATACGAGCCAAATATCAAAGCAATCATAATTAGCGCGGGTTAAGCTTTTTAAACTTATAACGTTTCAATAGAAGAACACTTTATTCTTATTTCGGAATGGGACTTCAACTTTGCAAACTTTTGACAAGACTTGGAGGGAGTTAGCAAACATATGGTTATGCACAAATAAAATGAAAAGGAAAAACACAAAAAGAAATGGTAATCGTTACTTTTAAATTTAAGAGTTATTTGTGGACATATAAGTCACAAATTTATTGGCTTAGTCCATCTCCACTCAACAACCCAAAAAAAATATTTGTTTATCTAATTTAAGCTTACTTTGCCTTAATTAAAACTTTTTTTTTATAATTTTCAATTTTGGTTATTATTATGTATTATTTTAAAAGAAATGAAAAGCAAGTAATCAAAACCATTTACCATAAATTTTAAATATATTCGTCAAATTACTTTTTTCAGAGAGCAATAAATGGTAATTTTTAAATTAATACAAAAATAGGGTTTTGATGGTGTCATAAACTTTAAGCGGATTATGGAGATTAATATATGGTTTTTCGTGTATGTAAATAAATAAAAAAAATAGAAAACAACGGACAGGAACTAAAAGCAACTTATTTTAAATTTTAGAAACTACTTATGTAATTCGTAATTATCTTACACTTACCGGCTTGTTTACTTTATATTAACTTCTTTATTGTTATCTTTCAGGAATTTGTTGTTAATGTTGATTTCTTTATTTCTGCTTCTAAAATCGTATGCTTTTGCTCACATTTTCCTGTAAAACAATACGGTAGCGCGGTTGTCCGTTGTGTTTTCCGGTTGAGAGATTTTAACTCAAAAACAAAATTGACTGCTCATTCGATGAATTCTGAATCTTTTCTAACCTCTGGCAACACTGCACTTACGTCAAAGGAAAGTGCTGCTAAATTACCGAAAAACAATGTGAGTAAAGCAACTAGAGATTTTGTAAATTTTTAGATGTTTTCTAAGAATTTTTGGAAAAGAATTATTTAATTAAGTCTTTAAAGTTAAAGAAAAGAATGGATCCCATATTGGGTCGTCCTCAGTTTTTAAGCGAAACTGCCAATTTATTTACTGATGAGAAAACTGCAAATGCTCGAGCTAGAGTAAGTGATGTAGGAAAAAAATCTGCTCATAACACTTATTCCACTTTTTGCAAACAATAGGTAGTGGAATGGCTTAATGAATTGGCCACAACGGCCGAGTCTCAAGCAAAATGTGAATTATTGGTTAAAGTACAAGAAACTATAATGGGTTCTTGTACTGAATTGCTGGAAGAGTTTTTAGAGCATATTCTTTCACTAGCACACGACGCCAATATGGATGTGCGGAAACAGGTGGTCAGTTTCATGGAAAAAATATGGTACGTTTTTCTTGCTGCATACTTGAAAAGATTATACGCACTCTCTATGTTTACAGTAAGTCAAAAGTGGAGTACTTGCCGCAAATTGTAAATGTAATCTCAATGCTGTTGCGTGATCGTTCACCACAAGTTATTAAGCGAGTTATACAAGCTTGTGGTAGCATTTATAAAAATGGGTTGCAGTGGATTTGTAGCCAACAGGAATTAACTGACAGTGCTGATCAAGCTTGGAACGTCTTGAGTTTAATTAAAGCTCAAATTCTCGATCTCATCGATAATGATAATGATGGTATACGTACAAATGCGATTAAGTTTTTGGAGGGTGTTGTTGTTCTTCAAAGTTATCCTGATGAGGATACTCAGAAAAAGGATAATGATTTCTCTTTGGATAACGTTTCTGAAAACATTAGAATATTGAAACGGAAGAAGTTAGAAGAAGAAGCCTTTAATATATTCGATATTTTGCTGAAGTTCCATGCCGCTACACATATATCTTCCGTAAATTTAATTGCTTGCACCGGCAGTTTGTGTACCATAGCTAAGCTAAGACCGAGTTTTATGGGTTTGGTGATAGAAGCTTTTAAATATTTGAATTCAAATTTGCCCCCTACTTTAACGGATTCGCAAGTTAGCTCAGTAAGAAAGAGTTTGAAAATGCAGTTAACTGCTTTATTAAAAAATAAGGGATCTTATGAATATCAGGCCACAGTCAAACAATTACTACATGATTTGGGTTCTTCGCAAAGTGAAATACAACGATCCATACCTAAAATGGATAAACAAGAACAGTTGAGAAGACAAAAGCGCATTTTGGATAATGCCACCAATAGTTTAAGTAAAAAAATGCGCTTATGTGCTTACATAGAAAGCAAGGAAGACGGGAATTCTGTGTCTAAAGATGTAGAAATGGAAATAGATGAAGACGAGTTAAACAAACAAAAGGAAAAATCTACCAAAGTCAATGAAAAATTTATAGCTGAACATTTGCGTTCAGTTTCGGTTGTAGTCAATTTGATTATGGAACATTTGCCTAAATTACCAAGCAGCGCGCCTGAACACTTTCTTAGAGGGTACAGTCCCGTTAGAGACCTCTCGACAAATCAACAAATAGCTAAAATATCTCATGGCTTGGGAGAACAAATGACTGCCTTGAGGTTAGGGCCGGGAGCAGCCGTTTTAACAAAGGAACCTCCTATGAAACCGGTGGAGAAAAACACCGCCTCAGTTGAACTCATGGAAGTAGATGAAATGGTTGTTAGGGAATCTACTTGTACAGGAATAACAGATGAAGAACAAATACGCAAAGAAGAGGCGACCAAGAAATTACGCGAAAACATGGAACGGTTAAAAGGAGAACAAGAATTAATCGAACGTATGAAACAAAAAGCCAAAGCTTTGAAATTGCAAGAGGTGACCAAACCCTTTCCAAGGCAAACGAAAGAGAAGTTTCTTATGGATGCAGTTAAACGTGTGCTGCGTTCAGAGCGCCAATCTATAGCTGGCGGTGTTTCCGCTAAGCGACGTCGTATATTGACTGTTATGGCCGCCACTTTTCCAGACAATGTTCGTTATTATATTTTCGATTTTATAATGATGGATATTAAACAACGCATAGATTTGGGTTTTTCATGGCTTTATGAAGAATACTGCCTTTTGCAGGGCTTCACACGGCATTCTTATGTCAAATCTGAGAATAGGCCCGATTACGCTTATAATGAATTTCTCACTCAAATGGTTAAAGGCGTTATAGAGAAATGTGAATTTCGTGATAAAATTCTCTTGCTAAGAAGGATTTTTTTAGAGGCGCCCCTTTTACCAGATGAAGCTATGAAACCTTTATTGGACCTTGTACTCATGGAGGAATACACTAATCATAGCTTAGATTTAATTAAAGACATGACTATCTTAAGACCACCTCGTAAAAATAAATTATTACGCTTGTTGTTGTGTTTTTGTGTTTATGAGCGTATTGATATCCGTGAGAAAGCAGTGGAGCATATTGTGGCTTTGTATCATGAACACAGAATAATGCCTTTGCGAACAGACGAGTTTGCACTGGAATGGGCAGGCTATTTAGAAAAAGAAGTCCCTCCTGTTATCATTTTTAGGAGTGATTACGGTCGTTCGGAAGTGGAAACTGCTTGGCGCGAGGAGATAGCCAAGTTGTGTCTGTCACTCTTACTGGTATTAATGCCCTTTAATACGGAAGTCTACTTAGACAAATTAATTGAAGTTTATGCCAAAACCTCTGCTGATCTAAAACGCACCATTTTAAGATGTATAGACGCACCGATTAAAAAGATGGGTCCTGATAATAGTGTTGTGCTAAGAGTTATCGAAGACTGCCCAAAAGGCTGTGAAACTCTTATCATACGAATCATTTATATTCTAACTGAAAAGGTGTCCACACCCCATCTCGAATTAGTGCAGCGTGTACGTGACTTATACGCAAATAAAATCAAAGATGTGCGTATACTTATTCCGGTTTTAAATGGTCTGACACGTCAGGAAATTTTAAACGCACTGCCGAAGCTAATAAAATTGAATCAGGTGGTGGTGAGAGAAGTGTTTAACCGCTTGTTGGGAATAGGACCGGAGTTCGCCAACCAAGTCATCGCCGCTACGCCAACTGATATTTTGGTAACTCTGCATAATATCGACATAAGCGATTGTGATTTAAAGTGTATCGTAAAAGCCACCTCTCTCTGTCTTTCAGAGAAAGATGTGTACACATATGATGTACTAATTGGCGTTCTACAACAATTAGTTGAATTTTCACCAACTCCTACATTGCTTATGCGTACCGTGATACAAAGTTTGTCTTTGTATCCACGCCTTGGAAATTTCGTTTTAAATTTGCTACAACGGTTAATTCTTAAACAAGTATGGCGTCAAAAAGTAATATGGGAGGGATTCCTAAAGTGCCTACAACGTTTGAAAACTACAGCACTGCCGATTATGCTGCAGTTACCGCCACAGCAATTAGCCAATGCTTTAGATCAGTGTCCCGAGCTTCGACAACCTTTGCTGGAGTATGCGCAAAGTATAGAAGATGAGCCCATGTCTGGAATAACGCCACAGATTAAAGACATAATTTCGGGCAAATCTACGGATGTTTTTATAACGGTAGTTTCAATTCTTGATCAATTAACTTTAACAAATATAGTTATTACTATTTCCTCTGCCTTTTACGACAGGACGATTCTGGTGGTTTTATTTCGATTGACAATATCAAAAAGGAAATTGAAGATCCTCAGGAGATATCAACAATATCTACAGTAACGACTGTCCCCGTCTTGAGCTCTGCAGCTATCATTGCACCAGATGTGAATCAACCTTTACCACCCGGAGAGGACTAAAGTTATATTCAAAACCATATTGCTAGATTGTTAATACGTGACAAAAGTTTTTGCGATTATTAAAACACTATTACTAATTGTGATTTGTTCCTTCCTTAGCTTCAGGATTTATAGATGCTCCAAATTTTATTTTGAAAGCATGAAATGCGTGTATGTTTGACCATTGCTGGCTTAGTATGGCGTATTATTATTAGAATTATCTTCTGCGTTTCTTTATTTTCATTTTTTTTTTTCTAATGGTACTATTGAAGACTACCGGCTACCGCTTTTTTAGTACTCTGAGAGACTTCAAATTTTTTCGACCGACGAGAACACATTTAGAAAGCTTTCATTGTTGGAGAATCGACTGGTTTCAGGACTAGCTAATTAATGCAACATCTTAAAAATATAGAATATGTGTGTTTCGCTTGAAATGATTAGAATGAAGGATAAAGTCTATAAATTTGAGTTGTTGATTGTCTCGGGCATCATAGAGCATATTTCTTACAGTTTGGGCCGTTGATTGAGTTAAACGGTGGTTGCGCTTCGAGTAAACCGCGTTTTTGAACGTTAACTGTAGGGTTGTTATTTGTTACACTTTTCCGTCATTTTCAACAATTCAGAGAATAACTTCGGTGACATTATACTTCTACTAAGCGATTAAAACGGGACTTGTTTGCCATGAAAAATTAGTAGCGATACTTAGGTGTTTCATACAATTTGCATCTAACGTCTAATGCGTTTAGAAGGTAAATTTGAATTACTATAATGAGTGCATGAATAAGGAGAGTACATGTCTTCCTAGGCAGATTGCGTTTCAACTTCTTCAAGCCAAAGCTTGTCTTGGAATGTAGAAAATTTTCTTTTTGAATAAGTGACTTCTTCGGTATACAAATCAATAAACGCGATGTTTATATTTAGGAAATATTTTTTGTCTATTAAAGAATTATGACGCAGTTAAAAGCAAACATCACTGATATGTTAAAATATATTATCATCGAATATTTTACAATGCATATATATGTACATAAGTGTAAATTGTTTACAGTGCACATCATAGAATATTCACAATTGCACTTCAGCTACCATTTTCTCACCCTTTAACGCCGCCAATATATTTAAAGCAGTAACATGTGACATTTGAATACGTGTATCAATATCAGCACTTCCAATATGTGGCAATATGACAACGTTATTTAGTTTTAACAAGGGATCATTTATTGGCAACGGTTCTGGTGTAGTAACGTCGAGTCCGGCAGCCATAATTTGTTTCTCTTTCAAGGCTTCATGCAAAGCCTTTTGATCAACTATGCCTCCTCGGGCTGTATTTATAAACACGCAATTTCGTTTCATTTTTTTAAAAGCGGACTTATCGAATATTTCCTTAGTGCTAGGTGTAAGAGCGCAACAAACAATAATGACGTCTGACTCGGACACCATCTCTTCAAACGTCGCATAACTTGCCCGCACTTTTTTAGCGACTTCCGGCTGTTGGTTGCGCGCAGTATATGTTATTTTTTTGGGTTTAAAGGGCAGCAAACGCGAGGCGATTTCTTGACCAATGCGGCCAAAACCAAATAGACCTACTTGGCTGCCTTTTAAACCTTGGCCGCACATATAATTGGGACTCCACGGCTTCCAACCACCACTATAGACATCCCTGTTGGCCTCGAAGAGACGTCTACTCGTAGCCAACAGTAAAGCCATAGTTAGTTCGGCAGTAGCATCCGTTAGGACATCGGGTGTATAACCCACACGTATCCCCAGTTTCTTACATGCTTCTAAATCGATATGTTCATAACCTACAGAAATTGTAGCAATACATTTGAGCTGTGGCCCTGCTCTTGTAATAACCTCGCTATCAATCTTTTCAGTTAAAGCGCAGAATAAAGCACTTTTGCCAGGAATTTGTTTTAACAATTCCTCACGGGGTACTGGCTCTTGCTTATACCAAACGCTAACATCAAATCTGAAAATTTTTTGTCAATTACAGTATTCTCTTTAAAGATTCAAACTTACTCCTTCTTTAGAATATCCAGGCCGATAGCTGCTACATCTGGGCGGGTAACATAAACGGATTTTTTAGAATTTGACATTTTAGAACAATCTCTAGCGAATATTTTGTCGGAATAGTAAAGTAACCGATAAGATTTATGATGTTGTTTAATGAAGTTTTGAATATTAACTAAAGTAAACATAACTTTGCGTGTCAAGGGCGTACGCGGACGTTACAAGCATTATAACCCATTATACCTTTGTCATCTTTCTCTCTATCTTATTTATTCATTTATTTATATATTCAGTTATAAGCAGAAATTGATCAGCCGATACAAACGATAATTTAGAACTAAACAAAAAGAGCAAAGCATATTAAACAATATTGCCCTACAAACTGTTACTAATCCAAGATATAGTGTAAACGGATTACGAATTCAAAGCAAAAGTGTACGCCCAATGAAACCAAATAGAACATTTGAAGAACTTTGGAAAAAATTTGAAATATACGAAACATTATTATCTCGTATCGTAATATATAAGGAGAAAACTACCAAAACGTGGAGAAGAAAATGAACAGAAAACAAGTTTGCTATAATTGTGGGAATGGTGTGGGGATTGCGGCTCAACTGAATACGAAAAGTAGAATACAAATCAGCAATTAAGTATTTTAAATGTAATGGATATGGACATATTTCTAGAAATTGCGAAAAGCAACATTAAAATAGAAAAAGTAATAAACTCTATTGTGGAAGAAATAGAACAAACAGATTTTAACAAACGGTGTACAAATCTGTTTTTCTGCGGTTTGTATTATTAAAGAAAGTGTCGGCAAGAAAAGCATTAAAGATCACGTACAAACTTATGTCAAAAAGCTTTATGTTTTGCAAAGCGCACACAAATACGATTGCTCAATTAAAAGTCGAAATAGAAATTTCGTATGTTTTTCAATCGAATTT